ACTAATTAATTTCGTAGGTGGCCTAAATAGCCAACTATATGACACATGATATAATAATTTAACGAACATATTTTGTCAGCATGCAAAAGATATTTAGGGTTGGTGCCAATTTCCAGCGAATTTTAGATTTGAATACCTACGACGAACCTCGCCGACTTCCGAATGTTCCGATCCGTTTAGTATACTTTTGTTTATTTTTTTTTTATGTTTTTTTTTTCGTAATACGAAGTTAAACGCTAAGACACTTAGAAGGGGGAGGGACTTACACCTTTCTCTACATGCAACCTATCTACTCCTTTTACATATTTATTAGATGTAAGCTGTGCGATCCATGAGTTTATATTAATAGTTAAATTTTTAACATTTAATATTCAATCATAAGAACAAAATATAAATATATAATATTATTATTATTATTTTTTATCTCATACAATAAAGGTTCACGTATTTATTAATACAGTATATTTTATAAATTGTTTGTTTAAACAACAATACAAACCAATGTGAAACTATATGTATTAGTTTAACCAACTTTTTTTTTTCAAATTGTGAACACGGTGATAATATAATCTTCCAAACTTCCATCCTCCTTTGTAAATCAATCGTTGATCGTGCCAGCTGATAAGTTGCATAATTAAACCCGCCTCCTTGCAAAATTAACACTTATGACTGAACTGACTTGTTAATTATGAACATTGTGCATCGCATGGGACATTAGATTAATTTATATAGGATTTAAAAATATTGGATTTAAAGTGGTGATAAAATTTATTATTAGATATGATAAATTTTGTTAACGTAGAATTTGATCTTTTAGATGAATAAATGATAAATGATACGAAATAAAATAAAGTGTTTTTTTTCTCTTAGATAAAATTTCAAATTTAAAAAGATGGTATTTTATTTTAATAATAAATTGAAACCTTTAATTTTAATTTTACGTGGCGCTTTAAAATAATAATCTTACGTGGCATAATCCTACACGTAACGCTCTAAAAATACTAATCCTACATGATTCTCTAATAATTTTTATAAAATCTAAATCCTAGGTGACTCTCTAAATTCTTGGGAAAAAACTCCCCTTCATATATATACCAGTTTGTGCCCGGGCGATGCCCAAATTATTGATAAAATTTTAGTATAAACTTTTTTATTTGCTTGAATGTTAAATACGGTCCTACAATACATTTTGATAATCTAAGATATTTAGACATATGATTCCATATCGCTTATTGAATTAAATAATAGTGTACTTTTTGTAGTTTTGTTTGTAAATAGATATGTACGTTATTATTAACTTGAAATTATTTTGTTGAACTTAAATTATTATTTTTTTCTTACTAATTCTCTATTTTTTTAAATAAATTAAATATGTTATAAAAAAAATTTTAAAGAACTTTTTAAACAGAATTTTATGATGGAAATAGAACTTGAGTTATAGGATATTTATAAAAAGTTATGATTAATTTTGTATATATGAAATATTAGAAGTATATTGATAATAAAACTCTATACAACATTTTTATCTTTACAAAACTATCCAAAATTCACTTACTTGGTATCATATGTGTCACGATAATATCTATTTTTCGCCTACGGGGCGCGACACTTGGCGAAAAACTAAAATGCCAAGTCGGTCTAGATATTATTCAGTCAGGCCACGAGATAGCGACACTTGACATTCTATTTTTTCGCCAAGTGTCGTGCCACGTAGGCAAAAGTAGATATTATTGTGACACATGATACTAAGTAAGTGAATTTTGGATAGTTTTTTTAAGATAAAAATGTTGTATAGAAAGTTATTATCAATATACTTCTAATATTTCATATATACAAAATTAATCATAACTTTTAATAAATATTTTATAACTCGGTTCTATGTCCATCATAAAATTCATTTTAAAAAGTTCTTTAAAATAAGATCCATTAATAATCATTTAATTTATTTGAAAAAAATAGAGAATTAGTAAAAAGAAAAAAAAAACAATTTAAGTTGAATAAAAATATTTTTCAAGTCAATAATAACATAGATATCTATTCACAAACAAAACTGCAAAAAGTACACTATTATTTGATTAAATAGGCGATATGGCATCGTATGTCTAAAAATCCTACATTATCAAAAGGGATTGTAGCACCGTATTTAACATTCAAGCAAGAAAGTTTATAATGAAATTTTATCAGCAATCTGGGCATCGCCTGAGCACAAAATTAGTAACTAATATATAAAGCTAAATTTTTAGCCAGGTCACGAGAAATGACACTTGGCGTTTCAATTTTTCGCCCGGACGACGTCCTATTTATCATTTTTCCATGCCATAAGCCCATAACCCCTTATTTGTCAAGGTAACTAACATGATCATCACCTTAATTTATTATTATTTATTATAGCAATTTCTATTTATATTATTATTATTATTATTATTATTATTATTATTATTATTATTATTATTATTATTATTATTATTATTATTATAGAAAAATAACAAAAACCTACAAAGTCAATCAATTTACAAGAAATTAGTAGGAATTGAAACTGAGATACAATTTGAGCCCCCACCCCTCTAGGTGTAGCGAACCATTAAAGATATGATGTGAGCAGCTGCACGAGCACCAATATCCTGAGTCCTAGCGAACGCCAGAACCCACTCCAACAACGCAACAACATCTTTCTCTAATTCCCCCAAAAAAGAAAACGAGAAAGGATGAAAACCATAGCCAATAACCCTGCAACGTGCCCCATACTTGTCCCGCTTCCGCTTAGCCGCAACCGATACAACACGACCAAGAACGAAGTCAAACAACCCAAATTGTGTCAAAAGAGAAGACCCCGTCAAGTCAACACATATATCAAGGCCTCTTTCCCAGGAATAAAGCAACACATCTGCTTGTTGAAGAGCCCCATCGTTCCCTCCAGTCAACCCAACATTAACCTCCTTTCTTGCAGAAATCCTAGAGAGAAAACAAATATCAACAAGGGTATCACGAATAACGTTGTGCCGATGTTTAATACCCACCATCCCAGCACAAGACATTGCACGATCCCTATAAATATCCCCATTAAAAACCCTTGAGCAAGCAGAACACTGTGTCGAAACGGAGAATAAAAGCACACCCAACCGGTAGCAAAGAACACAACAGTAAGTCTTACTATCATAGTCTGACCCAAACCTGATATTGGGACCGCTCGCAATCACACAGAAGTGTGATCTCCGTTCTGGGACTTCCATAAGTCAACTTGATGTGGAGATAAGGAGAAAGTGGATTCTGCAGATGCAGTGACCTTCGTGAAATATATATCTGCTAATTTATTCATGACTTTGGGCAGCGATCTCACTAAAAATACCCATAAGGTCAGTTTCCACAATCCTATTAAAATGACTAAGAGCACCATCGAAGGCCGGTCCTGGACCAACAATACTAGAATTGCGAAGAAGCGTAGCCTGAACACCAGAAGACTGCAAACGTGACGCAAGGAAAGCATTGCCGAACATCACTATTATTATTATTATTATTATTATTAAATGATTATTAATATTATCAAAAGATGGAATCATACGAGTAATCCAGTACTCGCTCCATATTTTTTTGGTTTTTATTTTAATCCTAGATCATCAACCTAATATGATCATATGACAGTGGTGATATATTTTTTTTTTTATTTTACTGATATAATTATTAAGTTCATTAATTCATTGCATGAGAACTAGATTGAGATAAATTTAACATAGATACTATTATACAAATAAAACTATATATAGAAAGTACAACTTTGTTTCTCAAATGCGGAGTATATTTCTATTATATATATACTTCTTATAATGTTCTTGTAATAAATCAATGATATCCTATGTCAAATGATCTTACATCTGAAGTCATTCAATTAGGATGAAAAATGTTTATCCTATAATAATTCAATCGGTCGATACTATGGAGTATAGATATTTTGAACAAATTGTATACATGTATACTTAATTGGATGCCAACTTGATTAGATGGCAAATGTTTAAAATGCAATACTCACAATTTGATACATACCAAGCATAACTTGTTTGCATTTTACAATTACGAGATTGTGGAATCAAGCTTCACTAGATGCACTTTGATGTGAGGATTATTTTACACTTCTCTTCACCTCCTCATAATATATATGTATGACTTAGCTTGCTAACCTAGAACAAAGTGCATTGACATGTGAGATGTTTTGCGTCGGTATTACCCTATTCCCTACCTTTTAAAAAAAATACTCACTAGACTTCATATTAGATTTCATCTATACATTTGTGTCTTTGAATGAAGCATAACTTAAAACATATTGAACTTTTTGACAAAAGTTGAGGTAATTTTTTTATATTTTATTTTATTCCAAATGGGCAACATAGTGAAATTAATTAAGAAAATATTACGTTATTTTTTAACGAGTTTGATGAGAAATTGTTGAGCTCATGAGAAAACCCACACGTGAGTGAAAGTGTTGTCTCATATTGAAAGAGTATAAAAGTAAAAGTGAAGAGAAATATTGGAATGTGTATCCCACATTGAAGAAAAGATAAAGTCGTGTCCAGTTTATAAGGCTAAGGGGCTACTCCCCTCATTGCCATATGGTTTTGACGTGGAACCTCTTTGATCGTATAAAGTGGATACTTATGACGGGTGTAGCCAGACCCGTTTATCAGAACTCTATCAAAAACAGACGGCTGAGACTATTCCTAACGATTTGGAACGTGGCATATCATCATATTAATATATACAATGTTTCAGCTAATAAAAAGTTTGGTCACTGGTTTTGCTAGTTTATATTTATATTGTTACTAAAATAAATGACCCTTTAAATAATTGTATTACGTGTTACTCCCTATTTTTATAATTGAAGAGTATGACCACTATTATACACATGTAACGTCATAATTCTTATTATTGGTAATTGTCGTTGGGTACTATATATATTTGATGTAGACATCTATTCAGCTACTCCAATATATAGGTTGAGCCATTTCAGCTAATTTTATAACTTCATTTGTAAATCAAGCTTTAATTTTCTACTTTACTACTAATATTTGCATTGTTAGGTTGATCATGGATTTTGGGAGCATAACTGAGTTTTTAGCAAACAAAACTATTTTAATTACTGGTGCTACTGGCTTCATTGCTAAGAGTACGCATTCTTACTCCTGCTCTTTTAATAGCTACTCGTATTGATTGATCTCTTTTTCTTTATTATATAACGTGTTTGCACGACGATTTATTTATGTAGTTCTTTTGGAGAAGATACTTCGGGTTCAACCAAATGTGAATAAACTATACCTTCTTATAAGGGCTAGTGATGCTCAAGCACTCGAAGCTCGGCTTCAAGATGAGGTATGCCTATTACATACAAAGTTACATAATTAGTAGGTTATGTAGCAACGTAGCTCATCATCATAACAATGTTGTTGTGGATGTAGGTGTTAGGAAAGGAGTTGTTCAAAGTACTAAGAGAAAAATGGGGATCAAGTTTCGAGTCTTTCGTGTCGGACAAAATAAGTGCAGTCGCCGGTGATACTTCGTACGAGAACTTAGGACTTACTGATGATCAAGTGAAAGAAATGTACAATGATATAGATATTGTTATCAACGTAGCTGCAACCACAAGATTTGACGAAAGGTAACACTCTACAATACTAAGATCATGCTCTTTTGTTTATTTATTATATGGTAATTTCCAATAGTTAGGAAATGCGCATGATAAAGCTGATAGATTTTCATTATATTGCTCATGAACTAGTAGGGGTCGAGTAGCTCGTGAATAAAAAAAAAAAATAAATAAATAAATTTCGTATACTATGTTCATGGTACAAAAGTACGTAGTTATTGAATTTAATTAGAAGGAAAATGGAAAATTCATTTTTTATGAAAACGTTTTATTAAAGGAAGGCAAAAATTTAATAATAAAGGTATTATTATTCTATAATAAGCTAATTACGTATTAAGTTATCTTTCTTAGCTTATTTATGTACGAAGTATGTACTAGCATTCCTTTTCATTGGCAAATGGAAAGTTAGCTCACCTCATGGTACAAAAGTACTTCGTTGTAGAATTTAGAAGGAGAGAAATGAAAGAGGATTGAAGGAATAATGCAAAAAAGAAACGGAATACGTACTATATTATCTTTGAAAGTATCAAATACTTCGTACATGGCATAAACAGGTTTTATAATTAACGAATTAAAATACATTTTGTATCCAACTACGTATTTTTCGTATTAGCAACATTTAGAATGATTGACCTTAAACTATGGTTACAAAGTTATATTATTATATGAATACGGTAAAAGGTACAAGATACTAAACTTATTTTGGGATGGGAGAGAGTATCTTTTTGTCTGAATATATACTCCGTAGGATTTTAGGGATAGAAATTTAATTATTGAACAATAATCATGCATATATAGGTTAATACTTAATTAATAAAATCTTACGAAAGATTAAGAAGTTTGAAGGCCCAAATGAAAAACGATGCCAACACTATACTCTAATAGTCTAAATAAGCCTTAGCCTTGGAACGAAATTCTTTATCTCAAAAAATGCTCGTTGCTCTATATTGTGCTTAGTATTATTCTTAATATCAACAAAAGTTATAGTGAACTCAAGTTATTAGAGACCGAGATTTTCTCCTTAACCTTGCGAATGTGTGACAAGCAATTGACAAAGCGTCAAAGCCATGCCAGCTGAGATGCTTTACAAAAATAGAAATTTCAAAAATTTCATGTTACATTTTTATGGACCACCCACTTAATATTTAAATATCTTGAGCTCGTGGGTCAGCTTGTCTAATCATCAACGCTAATGATATATTATTGCTTTAAATTATTATAGGTACGACATTGCATTGGGTGTGAATACCCTTGGACCTAAGCATGTTATCGACTTTGCAAAGAATTGTATTAACATAAAGTTGCTCATCCATGTATCAACTGGTAAGACATTAAATTTCTATCTTTGTACTGTATATAATTGTTCTAAGATTGAATTTAAAGTCTATCTCAATCTCTAACCATGAATTTTATATCTAATGTTAACTATTCTATCTATGACTTGTAAGTAATATTTGAAAAGTTGATGACATTCTTGTCACGCTGACTCTGACATTATGTCAAAAGTTCAATGTAGCTAAAAGTCTAAGCTGATGATTGTTTTTAGTTTAAAAATATATATCGACGAGTACTAAGAAATTAAAATTATATATATTTATTTATTTTTCAGCATATGTGTGTGGAGAGAAAGCGGGTATAATATCTGAAAAAGCACATGCCATGGGTGAAGCTTTAAATGGTTTGGTTGGTTTGGATATTGAAAACGAGAAGAAGATTGTTGCGGAAACTTTAAGCAATCTTAAAGCCAATGATGTTCCTGAGAAGGTTATTAGACAAACTATGAAGAACTTGGGAAGTCAAAGGTAAGAATTCTTTGAATTTAGTTCCTATGAACTAAAAACTTAAATTATAACCTTAAGGTCATAGGTTCGTATTAGATTGTGAAATCACATATAGAGAAGTGAAGTGAGTAGTTTTCTAATAATTTGTCTCCTAAGAAATCAACATGTATGATTGGACTAATAAGATGTTTGATTGTAATATTTTATCATATAATTTAATATTTGTGGAACAACATTGGTTACAACTTTACTTTTGGTTTGGTATTTTATTTTCGTTATTAGGTAGCTTGTAGATGGAAAAACTTATTTGAATATGGATTTTATATATCATGCTTGAGTGTTAGAAAGGGAAACTAGAGATAAGTAAAAATTGAGCAATTATATATGAGTAACAATTTAGTTGTAAGTCCTTGTAACAAAGCAAATCATATTCTTTTTTACAATTGGATTATTATATGTTATTTCCTTAGATTTTCATATAAACAAACTAAACGATTAAAGAAAAATGAAGAATTTGCAATTATATATCTTTACATCTCGACAGTTGTACTTTTATCCGCATTTAATTTCAATATAATGTTTGATTTACTAATTGAGAAAAATTAATAATATATAATTAATGCTTATGATTGCACACTTCAGTCTAATATCGATACACTTCTAATTAATTCATTAATAGGGCAAAGTTGTATGGATGGCCAAATGCGTACGTATTTACAAAAGCAATGGGAGAGATGCTTGTCGGGCAGCTTAGAGGCAGCTTATCCGTGGTTATCATGAGGCCTACCATTGTGTGTAGTACATTGAAAGAACCATTCTCGGGTTGGGTTGAAGGTTGCAGGTATACGTTAGCTTTCTAGTACAAGTATATATACTACTTATTATACATCTAATTTCCTATTATGCTGTAAGACATTTAAACTAAACCATTTAAGGGCATGCAGGACTATTGATAGTATTGCTGTTATGTATGGAAAAGGATACCTAAGTTTGTTTTCCGGTGATGGTAGCTCGGTCTTGGACTTGGTTAGTGTTCATTAACTTGTCGATTTTGTACTTTAATTGCAAATTTCTTATACTTAAAAGTAGCATTTGAAATATTTTATTTTATTTTATTTGATGCATTATAAGCTATTTCATACAATGTGTTACGGAGTATATATATATGTATCCTAATACAAATTCAAAATATTACTCCTTCCATTTCATAATGTTAGTCTCATATACTATTTAGGGCGTTTTAAAAAATCAACCCATATTGAATATGTTCCATTTTTAACTTAATTTTTTTGGAATTAATTATTTGTGGATTGATGACATGACTCTAAGTAAGGAAATCTCTACCTTTAATTATGCAATTATGACTTATGCTTTCCCAAAAAAAAATCAAAAAACTTAAATAAGGTAAACTAATTATGAATTATTCTATACTTTAATATTAGATTCTAAATATTCTTCTTTTCTTATTTCATGTGATTGATTCCATATGAGACTAACATTATGAAACGGAGATAGTATCAAATTTATATTACAACCAGTGGCGAATGCAAGCCATTTGAGTGGGGTCCCTTGACCCCACTTGAACATAAAAAAAGATTTTTTTAATAAAATTATTATTTTTTCAATAAAATTACTTGTTTTTTTTTAATATAAAATGACCCCATTAAAATTAACCAAATGCATTTTGACCCCGTTAAATATTTTTTCAGGATCCGCCACTAATTACAACAGTACTATCCATGTACAATACTTTTTAAACAAAATTCAACTACTAATTCAAGTCATCATACAATATGTGGTCTACAAGAGATCATTTTTGTTGCTATAAATGCTTTAATTAAGCCTTTTCTTGTAATAGGAGTAGATTTGAAAAACTACTTCTATGTGGAAGCTAACTAGACCCGGCCATCCGTAGGAACTAGTCTAGCCACTAAGTGCGCGACCTGATTTCTATTTAATTTTAATCCCCACGTTTCGTTCAAAAAAAAAAAAAAAAAACAAAAACAAACTAGGCCTTGCAAAACCGGGCTTCTCGGTCCATCTCGGGCCAAGCTCAAGTTTGTGATAAAAAACTACTGACCTAACTTGCATTTGGTCCAAAAATAGCGAGTTTATTAAATTTTGGACAGATCTAAATAATATTATAACATTAACTAAATACAAAAATTTGATTTCCCAAAACAACCCAAAAAACAGGCCTAGCCTAAAGTTCAAGCCCCGGTCGGGTAGGGTAATGGGCTTTGCTGCTTGTAATCAGCTTTAAGCTAATTTCTTGTCATCTAGCACTCGAAACACGTTTACTAAAAGCGACTTCTGTCTTACTCAAATTCACTTTCTAACCAAATGCTCGTTCATATTTACTGATTATATCAGCTAATTTCGAACACATCCGTAGAGTAGCCTTAGTAAAAAGAATATTGTCATCAGCAAAAAAGATCACCTTGTTGAAGCCCCCTAGTTGGAGTTACAAAGCCCGAAATTTCACTATTCACCTTAAAAGAGAATGAGACACTCCAAATACAATTCATAACTCTGCTAATCCACACATCACAAACACCCAATTTTTCCATCACTTTCTCCAGAAAAACACCACTCAACTCTATCGTATGCCTTACTCATGTCTAATTTTAGTGCCACTGAACCATCCCTTCCTTCCCCCTTTCTTTTCATAGAATGAAAAATTTCGAACGCAATGAGAGCATTATCCGTTATCAATCGACCCGGCACAAAAGCACTCTGATTTACAGAGATAATATCATTTAGAAATGGCTTTAACTTATTAGCCAAGACCTTGGATATAATTTTATAAATCACATTACAACAACTAATTAATCGGCCTAAACTCTGTCATATCTTTTGGGTCATTACATTATCGGAATCAAGACAATGCACGTTCTATTTATTTCATCTATATATATTAACATTCCCCTTCCACCAATTTTTCACAAGGGTAATAATATCGGGACCACCGATATGCCAAATTTTCTGAAAAAATAAAGCATGTATACCGTCAACACCAGAAGCCTTAAGTAAAATCTTTATTTCCTTTAAAAAAAATAAAAATAAAAATAAAAAAAATAAAAAATAAAAAATTTATTGGAAAATTATATCCATTCAAAAACATTATGAATGTGTCCCATTTTTCTACGCAAGATCTACCTTATTAACTTTATTTAATTTTTGTGAATTTCGTTTCATCGTTTTAATATAATGAATTGATTTCTCAACTATATCCAAGGTCATCCTACCAAGCTTAGGCCGACCAGATACTATCTTAAAATTTGGGCTATCAAAAATAAATAATGTGTAATTACAATATGGATAATGATAAGGGTGAAGCATAGTCCAAATGGTTAAAGCTTCCTTCTTGGTTTCAAATAATTTTGGGATCAATTCTCATTATCTGTTTTTGTGGCTCTCTAAACAACAAAAAAACAGTATGAATAATGATATGTAGTCTTATATATATATATATATATATATATATATATATATATATATATATATATATATATATATATATATATATATATATATAATGCTCAGTCAATAAAATACCGTGAATTGGTGTACTTCTTTATTAGCTTCTTATATATCCACTCCTTACTCCTTGGGACCATGTTTATCATTTTCCTTTCAATATTTAGAACTTATTTTCGAGATATCATTATATAATGATATTTTCTTTACTAGAACCAAAACATATTAGGGGTGGTTCTGGACATGTGCAGGGTGGTCGATTGCATAGGGCCCCCTAAGTGAAACTACTATAAAAGGACCCCGATTTTTGAAACTTATACAAAGTAAAGAGAAAACTTGTTAATCAATAATCTATTTTTCAATTGTATCATTAAATTTATAATTTAGTAAAATATTTTTTTTCAAAGAAATGATTTTAGAGCCCAATTTAACAAAATTACACCGAACCTCTTTCAGTGTTAGCATTTGTAACCCCGCCTCTGAAACATGTATCCGAATACATCTTCAAATAAACTGATATCATCCTTCTGTTTAAATAGTGATGTCCTTATGCTTATTAAGTTATTATTATAAACCAAATACATCAGCAAAATCATCGTCATCATACAGTTGGTATATACGCCAAAATTTTTTTTAAAAAAAAATCATTTTCAATTGATATAAATGGTAATTTATTCAGCCTTTTTATTGTAACACTGTAGAACACAAATAGCACTGTCCTTTAACAACCAATTGTGTTGGTCGAAGCAACTGTCACATGAATTATTAATACAATTAAATTGTATTTGGAAAAAGAATAATCACATCTTTTCAAAAACATTAATACTCCGTCTATGATTGGCCCCATTTTTCTAAGCAAATATCTCTTAGTAACTTGAACTCCACAAACATTCCTACTACCTTTTCAAATTATTAATATATCAATTTAAGACTACAAACCCGTATTATTTAATGATTTAAAGTTTTAACTTATGTGAGAAGTAAATATGAAATCACTCACTTGAAACATTTTCTTACTTTTACCTTCTCTTAAACTTTTAGTTGAGTTGATCCTTTAATAAAAATCGATTTCTTTAATCTAACACTTCAACTAAAGCTCGTGTTATTTTTAGCTTTTATTACGAATAAAAGTCAATGATATGGTGATAAGGATAATGACCCTAACTTGTATTATGCAGATACCGGCAGATATGTTTGTGAATTCGATTATTGTGGCAATGAAGACTCACATAAATCAATCAAATTTGACTGTATACCAAGTAGGAAGCTCGTATAGGAATCCAATAACTTTCGATGAAGTGCATGATATTCTTTTTCGCTACTTCACTAAAAATCCATGGACAAATCGTGATGGTAACCTTGTCAAGATTAGGAGAGGTTTCGTGCTGAGCAACATATTCATATTTGAAATCATCTTCTCCTTATTGCACTTTATTGTGCAAATGGTTAGTTATTTTTCTCGTATATTCCAAAGTTTAAATCTATTAAGTAATTTTAATCATTTATACTTACCAAGCTACATTATGTTTAACTTTATTATATTGTTTATTAATATGTTTTTGTAGGCTTTAATTTTGGCTAGTCGAATGGGTGGTAGTAGCTTGCAACATAGTTTGCTTAACTTCGACAAAAAGCTAAAAATAGCAATGAGGCTAGTGGAATTATACAAACCCTATGTATTTTTCAAGGGCATGTAAGTTGAACTCTGGCTCAACATATATTATATTACGTGTTACGTATAAATTACCAAAGACGTTAAAATTCATAATGAGTAATTTCCGCATAATAAGTAAAGGAAAAGATTGGAAGGTTTAAAAAAATGGAAAAAAAAAATGTTTTCCTCCGTTTCTATTAGACATTTTGTAAGGAAAATTACACTGAATTCACTACATATCACTATGGTTATAAGTTTTTTGGTCTTTTGATTTCAAAGACATGACATATTTCATAAAAAAGAATTTAAAAATTAATTTAAATACATTAGAATCATTAAATTATTTTAAAAGCTGACAACAAATAGGATTTTGTAATTTACAGTTTTGCAGATACAAATACGGAAAAGTTGCTTATTACTGCCCGGGAAAATGGTTTGGATGAAGATGCCTTCAACTTTGATCCCTTAAGCGTCAACTGGAAAGATTATTTCTTCAATATCCACCTCCCATCAATTGTTAAGAGCTTATTTTAGAACTACGTACGTTACGTTTGCTAGGCCATCTTCTTATTCTCGTTCGAATTGAACAAACTCGTTACATAATTTTTAATTGTTACATGCTAATTATGTATTTGATTAATTATAATTTCTATTATAGATGTCATAATGGTTCAATAATGATGTCTATTTGTTTTTCAACGAAAAATGTGATGTTTATTCTTTTAGATTTGATCTCTTGAAAGTTTGAACACATTCTACAAACATATTGGAACTACGTATAGTAGTTTAAAGGTTATGAAAATGACTCGTGTTATTATGTAAAATGTTGTTAGATCACTCATATTTTGAGCATGTTTCATAAGGCGTACAAGGGTATTATTTTGCCTTAAAATAGATTCAACAAACCATTATTCCATCATCTAGTGTTTGATAAGAATGTCTAGGTAACAATAACATTTACTTGAGGGTAATGTTTTTCAATCACCCTCTTAGATCCAAAAATCCCCTTGTTTCGCAAAGAGGGTGATTTTGGGAATGCCGCAAGTCCCCGTATTAACTTTCTTGTATTAGATTTGGAAAACAATAAAAAAAAAAAAAAAAAAAAAATTTGCCATCTATGTGTACGATCAAACAAGGCAATTATTTTTGCCCTCTTTGACTATTATCAAGCAGGGAAAATATTTTCGACGTCTTTGAGTGTAACAAGCCTCTGTAACAATTCATGAGCAGCAACTACTTTCACCCTCTTGCTCAAAATTCGCCCTCTTAGCTTAAAATCAAGCATGGCAACTTCAAAAACAATTCATGAGCATCAACTATTTTCACCCTCTTGTTCAAAATTCACTCTCTTAGCTTAAAATCAAGCATGGCAACTTCAAAAGATTTACCTCTTTGTTTTAAATTAAGCACGGCAATATAAAATAAACTCGCCTTGTTTGTTCAATTTTTTTTTTAAACACTAAATCTGAAACAGAAACAAATTAATCATTTTTGTAGCCATTGATGTTAATACTTATTCAAAAGTATTATAATGTCTTGAAACCCAAAAATACTAGATACTTTTATAGCTACGAAACCATTCATAAAATTCTATCAGACCCAAAAGTATAACAATGTGTTGATGCCTTGGTTTGCATTCGTAAGATTCTGGCAAATTTTATTGATTTGGGCTTAATCCATCTATAAAGCCCAATATTGTTCAATGATGAAAATACCCCTCCTATAATCCAGCTCATCGTCCTTAATCATCACATAGTTACTCTATATTACGAATTTAATTTTAATCTATATCGTGCTGAGTTTCTTTAAAAAAAGGAAAATGCACTAAGCTAGTTCTTTCATGTTACTCTCTCCATTTTGTAATAATTGCAACACTTTCGTTTTACTACATCCGTTTCATAATAATAGCACTATTCTATTTTTTTCCACTCTACCACTAATCGCACTTGAATTGCACAATTTTTTTTATTTTTTTTTATTTTTATTTTTTTAAATATTTTTCTCTCCTACCAATCCCTTTTGCACTACCTTCTTATTTTATTATCTCTCTATTACTAACAATTAATTATATCTCCAATAACTATACTTTATATTCAATTTCTTTGTGGCCTAGTCAGCCAAGGACGGATCTAGGAATTTAATATAGACCGGGCCGGATCTCTAATGCATATTCAATTATTCATAAGTAAACTTTTAGAATTCTACAGCAAAGAATAAGAAAGATTATACGTGTTTAGGGGATTTTTCCCCGCCACGTGGTCCAATCAGCACCTGCCATGTGTCAGCCACGTGGACCAATTAGGGGCTGCCACGTGTCCTATTTCAAGAGGTCCAATGTGGACCAACCATGCCACGCCAAGTGGCACCAGATTGCCAACCTGGAAAACGGCCAACGAGGCCCGAATCCCGAGGCAAGCTCAATCTGTCCTAGGTTTACCATTTAACCTAGTGTTGGGCACGTACTTTGAGGCTATAAATACAGTAATTAGCCTTCATTAAAGATATCCAGAATTAATTAATCACCTCACCAAGAGAAGCCTAAACCCTCGTGCATACTACTTGCTAGACCAAACTTAGTGTTAATTGCACATCTCGATCTCTCCTCCCCTTAGAGGAACCAGATCACTTTTACTTTCCGCACCTTTTACTCCTTAAACACGTTCTAACTTGATCGTCGGAGGCGGAGCTCCCACCAACAGGATTTTCCGTTGTTTTGCAGGTACAAGCGCACGGATCCAGTCCCGAAATTGTAACTCTCCCGCAGGACATAAAAAAACCCCAAAAACCTTTTGGCGCCGTCTGTGGGGAGAGTACTTTCGAGATGGAATCATAGTACCGATTCTAAGTGAGAAGTGTCCCATGGACGACCCCCTGGTTCAGACGGACCAGGATACTGACAATGAAATTGAAGTCGAGACTCATACGACCTCTAACGAACCTTAAGAGCTCGACGCACCCGTCCCACCGAAAGGAGGCAACGGGAGGACTGCCTGGCTGGATCTAGTAAACCAGCCGGCCAACCGCTTGATCATCAACAGGCGGCAGAGGGATCTGCCCCCATCACCAGAAATGAACTCATGACCTTCATGAATAGTTTCAAGGGGGAGATCTAGGAGCTTATCAACAAAAAGGCAATTGTCCCACCAAAGGAACAATCGGCTAGAAGACCTTCCCATTCTGGGAGGAAGAAGCCTGTAAAGGATCGGGAGGCGACTCCTTACCCTAGACCTAGGGAGAGGGAGGCGCCAGTGATCGATCTAAATAAGTACCGCTTCCCCTCACCAGGGAAGAGAAAGCCCATCCGTCATATTCAGCCGGACTACTCTGATGCTCGAATGTTGCTCGAACAGAAGAAGAATGACCGACTGTCAGAGTCGGCCTCTACATCTGATTTTCAAGACAGTCTGCATAATACCTCCCTGAGGAATTCAAAATCAAATTATGAGAGCCAGACGGCCGGAGCCTCCTCTCGTTCTGGTTCCCAGAAACATCATGCAGCCCCGTATGTGCCTCCTCAACCATACGTTCTGTAGTCCCAATATTTCATGCAGCCTGCTCTTTTTGGAGGACAGGCGATAAGGAATGTCCAGCCTTTGGATTGGCAACTTAGGTTGCTCAAACTTGGAGAACATCCCTCCGCCTTCTCTAAGGAAATAATAGAGGCCGCCCAGCTGGCCAAAGTAAAGAATGTGTTGGTAGGGGCCTATGACGGTACTTCCAACCCTGAAGACCATTTGATGGCGTACACCAACCTTATGTACCTCCACGGGTTGGATGATGCCACATGGTGTAAGTGTTTCCCGGCCACATTGAAAGGCATAGCCCAGCAGTGGTTCGACAACTTGCCGACCGGGTGCATTAATAATTTCAAGACCCTCGCCTACCTGTTCACTTCAAATTTCGCAATGAATATTCCTGCTAAGAAGACCGCCCTTGACTTGGCGGCCATACAACAAGGAGAGAAGGAAGGGCTGCGCTCCTACATCAAGAGGTTCAATTTGATGAGAATTCAGATACAGGGACTACCTGATGAAGTATCTTACACAGACTTTTTCAAAGGTCTGAAGGACGGTTTGAACTTCAAATTCGACCTTGTCAAAGAGGGTGACCACCCTCCAGGAAGCAATGATGGAGGCGGACGCCTACATTCAGGCGACCAACCTCTGTAATGTTGGAAAGCAGTCGGACCAGAAGAAGTCCGACAAAAAAGAGAGCCGACCAAAGCAGTCGGCCAATAAAGAAGATAGAAAAAGGAAAGAGGTCTGGGTGGCTGACTCCTCTGAACAGCCGTCCCAGAAGAAGAAGGAATTTAAACCATACTCCCCCAAGTATGAGTTTAACAAGGATAGCTATGCCATTCTCAAGGAAATCAAGGACCGACTCTCAATAGAGAAGCCGGCTGCCATGAAGAGTTTCGTCAACAATCGGAACAAAGATAAATATTGCTATTACCATGAGGACATTGGTCACGACACCAATGAGTGTATCAGCCTCAAGCACCTCTTGGACCGCCTGGAAGACAAAGGAGACCTCAACTCCTATGTCAAGAAATCAAAGGGTAACCAGCACCCCAAACACAAACAGGCAGGCAAGAAGAGGTCGACACCTGCTGACAGTTCGGACACTAACGAAGCTCAAATCTATACTATAGTAGGAGGCTTCGCAGGAGGAGGCCCTACTATCTGGGGCAACAAGGACACCATCAGGCGTCTAGAAGTTAACTCCGTTGACCAAGGACGGACCTCCAAAAGTTCATTTCCAGAAGTTGTTATCACTAAGGAGGACTTAGGGGAAATCAGGGGGCCGCATGACGACCCCATTGTAATTGAATGCAAGGTGGCCAACCAGAGAGTTGGCCGGATTCTCATAGATACTAGGAGTTCACTGATCTCATCAGCAACAAGTGCTTGGCCAAGCTCAAGTACAGGCCCGACAACATACACCCGGTCTCCCATCCCTTAGTAGGATTTGGAGGAGGTGTCGTACACCCAGTTGGACGGGTGGACCTGCCTATCCGCCTGGGCGAGAAAGCGGAGGGTCGTCACATGGTGGTCCGGTTCTTGGTGGTCGAAGAACTGTCGGCCTACAACATGATCTTAGGGCGACCCACCCTGAATAATTCAAAAGCTGTCATCATTCCATCTCTCATGCTTCTCAAGTTTAAGAGAGATGATGGAACAGCCGGCTCCCTAAGGGGAGACCAGAAGATGGCCACAGAGTGTTACCTCTCTGATATCAAGACCAATGTGGCGGCATCCGGCCCCAGTGGAGAGACTACGGATCTTGAGCAAAGCAAGGAGGCTGCGCCTGCCCCATCAGCAGCCGACAAGAAGAGAAAGGTCACCCATCTGGAGGCCGAGAGAAAAGAAAAACAATAGCAATCACTAGCCGAGGAGCGGTCAGATGAATTCCGTCCTCAGCCGGCTGGTGAACATATAGACCTCGTCCTGGACGACTCTTGCCCTGAGAGAACTGTTAAGGTCGGGACGACTGCTTTTGCTGAACTTGGTGTTGACCTCCACCAATTGTTAAGGGAATTCAAATATATATTTTCATTTGAAGTCCAAGAGATGCAAGGCATAAGCCCAGATCTGGCTGTACATAAGCTCGCCGTGGATCCCAAAAAGAAGTCGGTCAGGCAAAAGAAGAGGAACCATGGCGAGGAACGAAGTCAGGCGCCAGCCGTCGAGGTTAGGAAATTGTTGGACGCAGGATTCATTCAATAGTGTTACTTCCCAGACTGGGTAGCAAATGTTGTTCTTGTAAAAAAGTCGAATGAGACTTGGCGCATGTGTGTAGATTACACAGACTTGAACAAGGCATGTCCCAAGGACAGTTA